AAGAAAAATCACCAGTATGGATACGCATCTGCATGAGTGAACATGCAACACTCTCAAAATTGAAATTACAACACATGTGCGGACAGGTGGGTAATGCATAATACATCTTCGTGCTAATGGTATGCGCATTATGGCTGACACGCTAGAAGGAAAAAAAAAAAAAGAGAAATTCATGGAAAACACTTTTTTTTGCTGGTTTAGGGCATTACTCGGGGTGGATGTCATCCCGGTGGTGTTACCCAACTGTGAGTACAACCACTCTCCTTGTAATCGTTTCGGCCCTTTTTTATGTGTATCCCAAGTGTATGAGAAAAAATGACTCTATCACATCTACGGTAGCCTTCGTCTGCACTTGTTTATGTTTAGTCTTTCCTAAGAGCGCTACCTGGTAATGCGTCAACATTGAGCCCCTGGAAAGTTTTGCTGTACTATTTTGCATATGTATTTTTTTTTTTTTTTTTGCCTCATTGTTTTGCGTGCTCGCCCATTCAGCTTCTATGTTTTGTAAGTGCACAAGGTTCCCCATGAGAAGGGTAGAAATTGTCCTTTGCTTCTTTCCAAGTTGGTACCACCCATCCGTGTGTGCCTCGTTAGTACTGCCATGATTGGAATTGCTCTAAATTTTTCGCGAAATGGCTTCCCCTTGCATGTAAAAATGCAAAAGGGTTGAGTTTCCTCGAGTGGTTGCAGAAAAAGGGGGACCTCTTGACCACTGCACTTGGGCAGGGGTAGTGTTGAGAACGGGTGATGAGGAGAGCCTCATTAGCAGGTTCTTGCCCCGTTTAAGCGGTGCATGCTTTCACGCAGGTAGAATTGGGCTAGTGGATGAGCGGGTGAAGTGACAACTCAAAGGGAGGGATTCTCCCCGCAGATTGATTCATCCTGCACCTGAATCAATGGTCACTTGCTGAACATGCCAGTTTAGCCATTTCAGGGTTCCCATTTTGTTACGATTTCTACTTTACCGTCATGTTGTTATTGCTTTTTTGGGAAGTCTATGTAAAAAAAGGAGGGGCAAACTCCCCATTTACTCGAAACAAAAAAAAAAAAAAAAGATTTCCACAAATACAACATGAGTGAAAAAAAAGAAATACAAAAAAATTAAAGTAATGCTCACAATGGGAAGTTAAATAAATGTTTTGTGTTTCTCTTCCAATCCAGTTTACAACCAATTCTGTCATCAAAGGTACGTGAAGTCCTCTTCTTCCTCGTCCGAAATGTCACACTGAGTCGAAATGGAAAACATTTTATAGTCATACCTGTTTTCCTGACGAGTGTCTAATTCCACTTTCCGCTTCAACGAAGAATTAATTAAAGACGTTTCTAACCTAATCAATTTCGATCTTACATAATTGACAAAAAAATCGAAGGCGACTTTTCCGTAGGAGTATGTCTGTTTGGCCAAATAAAGTTTCAATGGCAAAGTCGTATGATATACGTTACACCAGACGTTGTATACAAGGGGGTTCCAAATAATTTCGCTACTCAATATGTGGAGAATCCCTTGGGAAAACACATCAGTGAGAAGGTACCCACAAGAGGTTAAACAAAAAAAAGACAACGCATTGAGAAGGTAAGGATGGTCAATAAATCTGCTAACCAGAAGAGTTATCCAATTGCTATTTCGATATATGTGGTCAAACGTTATTTCATGTTTTTTAAAATAAATGTTTTTTAGTATCTCTTGATTATTCCTTCTGATATCATTTAAAGCGCTGATTGAAATTAAAAACTTTTTCTTCTTGTCATCTACTTTTTCTGGCTTTAACATCACTGTTCCTTCTGGCACATCCACATAGACGAAGCATTTTAGGGGATTATTTTTGCTATTCAGATAGTAATTCCACTTCACACAGCTGTTTGTCTTTCCGTTAAGGCTACTGCTCGATTTTGCTTTTTCCTCCTCTTTGTTTTTTTCCCATCCGATCTGTATTTTTATAAGTTCGCTTGTTAAATGTATTAGCTGTCGGGTGATGTACCGCTCGATTTGGGCGGGGCCGCTGCAGCTTCCTCCGTCGCCCTGAGCGTCCACTCGTCCTTGCCTTTCGCTGCCACTGCTCCGCTTGCAGCGGTTCAAGCGGTTATACTTATTACTGGCGATATTACTGGCGATGTTACTGGTGATATTACTGCCCACATTACTGCCCATATTACTTCCCACCATACTGTCGCCCTCGTCGCCGCCACCGCTCGACGGGAACGTGTAGCACCTGACGACCCTCTGCATCTCGTAGGGGGGGTATAGCAGCTCGTCGAGGGTATCACCCAGCCCTGGCCTCCACCTTCTTTCTCTCCCTAGAAACATACCATGGCCATTCTCACCAGGCAGTATTTCACCCAAAAGGCAATTTAACCAACTCTTAAGGTGGTGTAACCCCTTGAAATGAGAGTCATTTTGTTTCTCCTTTTTTAGAAAGAACAGCTTACGCGTGGAGTTGCCCCTTATCCGATCAGAACGGGATAAGTGACTCCTATTCCGACCATGGTGCTTAGATGCGATTACCTTGTTGTAGTGGGCACCTCTGGGGGGGGTTACTATTTTGGATGTGTATGTTGAAATAATGAGAAGAATTAAGGCCAGCAGAAGGGTACAGCAGTGGGGAAGTGTAACCATAGCAACCTTTCTTCTGTTTAGCGTGAGTTTATTTTGTTGTCCGATTTACGCCGTTTCATTTGGAGGCCGGGATGGTGGACGCGCAGGTCGGCATGAGGACACATCCGCATATGTGCTCATTCGTATGGCTCTCCAAAATTTGTTCTATTAAGAGGAGGGGCTATGGAAAAGCCACGCGCATTGTGTAGTGCCAGGCATTAGCATACTTTCGCATGGGAACGGCCCTCCTTAAATTTTGTTTAAACTGGTTAAACGCCAATGGGGGAACGAGTTAGGCATACCCCCGCGTGGTGCTGCTTTTTCAAAGGGGATGAACAAATTCTTTTCGCACTTTTTTTGCGCATTTTTAGGCGTTTCTCTGCGCATTTTAGGCATTTGTTTGCGCATTTTTAGGAACTTTTTGGTGCTTCTCACGGAGTTCGTTTGTGTTCCTTTTTTATTTTTTTCTGCGGTTATTCTTACCCATCTGGCTCAAAACCCTCACAACACATTTCCAGCGCAGCGTTCCTCCCTTTGGAAACGAGCGTGGCGCCACTGTAGGGTGATCAAAAGGGAAACACAAAAAAAATATAAAAAAAAAAAAGTCAAGCCCCCCAAGGCTATACAGGATGTGATTATTGCGGGTGTTTCCTCTAACAAGTCGGAAAAAAAAAATTAAAAAAATGCAAAATTAAACCAATGGTAGGATCACTTGGGGGTACAGTCCGCATAATGCTTATGGTGGCGAACTCTTTCCTCTTGCCTACGCTGAAGCAGTTCTTAATTGGCCAAAGCGTTTGCGGGGGGGGCATATTATTACTACGTACATTATATATCCCTCGCATTGGGGGAGGAAGCGAAGATGCCAAGTGCATACATAATTAATATATATATATATATTATATGCACATGTTATATGCCAACGGGGGGGTATTCGCCACGTTGAATGGTTACTTAAACCCGGTGACATGCGGAGCGCACCCGGTTTGGTTCGCCCAGGCAGCCCTCAATTTTTTACTCGGATTTGTATGCACTGCGAGGAAGAAGTTAAACGGAGTGTTTACCTCTCGTGGTTCGCCATTTACACCCATTCCTTGCTTCTTAGCCTTGAAAGAACCAAACAATATTTTTGTATACCCCCGATGTGTTGCTCTTCACATTACCCCTCCCCCCCGTGGGTAAAGGTCACACTACATATGTATACGTGATACGTGCAATGGTACATAAGCGCGCCACAATTTTTAAACCCCCGTCGAGCTGCGCAAGAAATGAGGACCCTTAAAAGGGGCCAACATATAGATGGCATACACGTTGCGTATGTAAGTAATTATGTACATGATAAAAAAAAAAAAAAAGGAACACTTTGAGGTGACGAAAAAAATTAGCACAAAGTTGAGAAGATATAATTTAAAAAAAAAAAAAGAAAAAAAAAGCAATCCTTTAAAGCAACGAAAGAGGAATAACAACAAAATTGCGAAGCGGCAAAATTGCAAAGTGATACTTGCCAAGTGACAGTTGCAAACGCTTGACCATCCCTTTTGCGAACCAAAAAATAGAAACGTAGAAGAACAAGATGCCGAAGAGTTACAGGAATTACTCCAAAACGGCTAGGAACCCAAAGCGTCCCTTTGAAAAGGTAAAAATGTCGCCCGCATAATTTGTGCTTACGCGCGGGCGGGCATGCATCTTGCGCGAGCATCTCCGGCGGAGTACACCCCCGGGGGAGGAGAAAGCCACCGCGCTCTCAATCGCGGATACTCCAAAGAGGGGGAGAACGCAGAGGCGAAGCAGGAGATCTACGCGTCCTGCAACTGTACTTGTATACATGCGCATTTGCATACATGTTCATTTGTATACATGCTCATTTGCATTATATACCTATTTGCGCGCGCTCTTTTCCCCCGAAATTGCAACTAACGCCGACACGCCCACTTCCACACAACCACAGGAGCGTTTAGACCAAGAGTTGAAGCTAATTGGTGAATACGGACTTAAGAACAAGAGGGAAATATGGAGGTAAGTTTCCCCCGGGCGTGGCGCTTTTGGATCCCCTTATGACACAGAAAAAAAGTGTGATAAGCGGCCAACGTGACTTATCAAATAGATCAGGCACAGAAGACGTTTGTATGTGAAGGGGAGTTTCCATCGCGTGTGTTTCCCCATCTGATAGCACAGCATGACTCCCATTTTATGTAATTTTGTTCACCCTTTTGTTTTGCCCCTCTCACCCCTGCAGAGTGCAATACCTGTTAGCCAAAATCCGATCAGCTGCCAGGTATCTGTTAACCCTAGACGAAAAAAGCTCCCAGAGAATATTTCAAGGAGAGGCCCTACTCAGACGAATGGTGCGTCAAGGATTACTGGGAGAGAATGAAGAAAAGCTAGATTATGTGTTAGGGTTGACTTTACCAAAATTGTTGGAGCGAAGATTGCAGACAAAGGTTTTTAAATTAGGGTTAGCCAAGTCAGTGCATCATGCAAGAGTACTAATACGACAGAGACATATCCGAGTCGGCAAACAGATGGTAGATATTCCTTCCTTCTTAGTTCGTGTGGACTCTGAGAAGCACATTGACTTCTCCACAACGTCTCCCTTTGGAGGTTCCAGACCAGGAAGGGTCAAGAGAAAGAGTCTGAAAAACCAAAAAGAGAAGAACGAAGAGGAAAATAACTGATCGTAATATGAGGATCACCCTCTGCCCTACCAGCGATCATTATGCATGTGCGGGGTGATCTGCAAAAAGGAAGAAGTGCTGATTGGCAGTAACGAAGATGCACCCCTTTGTTTTTTATTTTATCCTATTATTAATGCTAACCATATAGTGTGAACAAATTAGCAAGTATGCATATATAAGTCAAAAAAAATAACTTTTTTTTTTTTTTTTCAAATGTTAAATTCCTGTTGTATCGAATTGTAAAGAAAAAATCGCAATTAAATAATGTCCCAACTGCTTCTCTTTTTTTTTGCCCTTTAAAAGTTAGCGCACCAAACAACGGTGGGTGGGTGCATCCTGAGGTGATAAACATGCGCGTGAATCAATTATCAGTCGTTTATTTGGCCTAGTCGCTTTATCTGCCTTTTGGTGATGCCTTCAACTGCTATGTGCCCTATTTATAGGAGGGCACACTTCAAGGCGCGCAGTAAATGCTAGGACAAACGTGGTCTGTCGGGATTGTACCCCTTGACAGAGTAACGTAACCGTCTTGCAACTCTGGAAAAAAAAGAAATTATAACAGGTCTGTATAATAACACTCTGGAAGAATCATCTTCCAGGTAAGGAATCACAAGTGGGTACTTTCGCACATGGGAAAGTTTTTTTAATTTTTCAACCAGTTGGATTTTTGCAGATTCGTGTGACATATTTCGACATGCTGATTTATGGGGATCATGAGCACTTTTTTTTTTTTTTTTCATTTTCCCCCGTATAAAAAAAAAAAAAAAAAA